CTTGTTGTTTCTCATAGTTCCAGATCTCCATTTCTAAGAATTGAAATATGAAGCCAAAAGAACCTCTCCTTTCTTGCGCATCTTCTTTCCATTTTTTAAGTTCCATTTTCAGTTCTTCTAAGAGTGATGCCATTTTAAACACTTTTAAACAACCACCAGATTGATTTTAGTCATTTAAATGCAATAACCAAAAATCCAAAAATCACCAAGTAATCCAAATAATCCAACGCTATTTCTTCTTGCTTCTTTTTGCCACTTTCCCTTCCTGGGGTTCTATTAATTTGTTGCCAAGTTTCAGTTAAAATGTATCTTTTAGGAATCTTGTTGAGGTTTCACTGTAAATTCCTTTTAGTTCCAAACAGTCTCCTCCATTTTTCCAGATCCTGCCCTTTTATTCTTTTTCTCTCCTTTCCTGCTTTTAAAAGCTTTTAAGTATCCAGAAATCTTTATTATCCCTTTGACATTTTATTTTCAGCTTAAATGCCTATTAATGTCAAAGTGGTTTTTTTTTCAATTTCTTGCTTAAGTCTCTTAGCTGTCAGTATAGGGAAGGGAAGAAAAAAAAACCCAAATCCTTTCCTTTCTGGAGTTTTTTCCCTCTCCTTTGCTGGTACTTTGCTTGTGTGGAGTGACCTTTCAAAGTTACAATGGCACTGAAAAATGTGACTTATGACCATTTTTCACACTTCAACTGTTGCAGCATCCCCACAGTCTTGAGAGGCCAGGTGGGGAGATGCGTGCCTTGATATAGTGATATTGAGTTGGCCACGCCCAGCCAATAACATGACCACCAAGCCATGCCCATGCCGAGAATCATGAGATTGGCAAGTATGAAAATGTGATATATGAGTAATTTTTTAGGAAGTAGCAAACACTACATCATTTGACATCTTGAATGGGAGGGTCGGTCAAAGAAAATGCGCTTCCAAAATGTTTCCAGCAGCAACAGCTCTAAGTTAGAGAGGAGGGGGGTGGATTTTAAAAAGTCCTCTCTTCCTAGTTCTCTTACTGCAGCTGTTGTGGCTGAGTCTATAGAAGCAATAGCCCCAAAAGGAATCCCTGTCACACACATGTGCACATACACATTAAATGTTTCCCTGGTTTGATTTTGTTTGATGTGGCAAGGCTTCTTTACTCACAAAAATATTTCTCTTAGGATAGCTCCAGCAACAACTGGTGTGAGTTAGAGAAGGGGGTAGCATGAGCACATTCTTCCTCCCCATTTCCTTGCTGTTGTGACTATGTCCCCAGCAAGTGGCTACACAAAGGCTCCACAAACCACAGGAAGTATCACTTGATTCCTGAGTGTGCAGTATTATTTTAGTTCTGCTTCTTAGCTAGATAAAACTTCTTTGCCCATCAAAGTGTTCTAATTCAAACTCTCTGTTTGTCTAATAATGATAATTGTAGTAGATTGGAGAAAAATTAGGTTTATTAGGTAGTTAGGACAATTACATCTCTTGCTGTTGGACTGCTGCTTTGTGGCCAACTTTACTCAGAAATGGGGGAAGTGGTCAGAAAATAATTTTATCCTTATTGAAGTTTGTGATAGCCACAAGATTTAAAATATACAGATATTAAGAAAGTTAGTTATCAATTTATTTTTTGCTTTCAAAAATAGTCCAGCTTCAGCCTCCTTGCAACTTTCAACTGGAAAATGCCCACAAGCCTTCCTACAATTTAACGTGGACACTTTGTGTTGTCTCCCACTACCTAAATGGAAAACTGGAATATGAAATTCGGTATAGAGCAATTTCTCCTGGTGAGGTAAGCAGGAATATTTCTTTGTGGAATGCAACAACTTTGATACCCCTGGTTATTTTTTATTCTGCAATTCTGCTTTGGACACACAATAAAATTATAAGCAATATAGTGTAGGAAAACAAAATAATACTGTACAAGTACAAAGGCATGGAAGAAATATCAACTATTCTTGAAGCTTGATAACAATCGGCTGCAGCCCACATTTTTGGCTTACTTTACATACCAGTCTAAGCTGCTCTATACTTAACCATGCTTTGATGAATAAATCACAGTTAGAATAATTGTGTTGTCATTTTGAATATACACTAATTGGCATATATTAAAATAAAATTTCACATGCACACAGCTCTCAAAGGGTCACCACCTCCAATATATACTACATGAACATGACAAAATAAATAAATACAAAATTATGCATTTTGTACACATATAGTATATGACCCACACATTTTATATGACACAGAGAAACAACACAATTTGGATGTATACATGTACGTGGCAAGAAAAATGAATCTTGCGAGTTTACCAGATGGATGGCATAGGGAACAAAGCTGTTACACAATCTGGTCGTCCTGCTAGAAATACTTTGAAACCTCCTCCCAGAAGGGAGCAACAGAAACAGACAGTAAAGTGGGTGTGTGAGGTCTCTAACAATGCTTTGAACTCTAAGCACATAGCACTTATAAGCAGTATCCTGAATAACAAGAATTGAGCTTCCTATAATCTTCTCGGCTGTCCTTACCACTCTCTATATGGACTTTTTATCTGAGCCACTACTGCCACCAAACCATGCTTCGCTAAGGATGATGTGTGTAGAGACCAATTCAGATTGTTAGTTATCTGCTCCCCCAGATACTTAATACTATTGACCACATCTACAGTTGCATCCTTGGTACTGAGTGGAGTATGTCTATGCCATCTCTTTCTAAAATCTACACTAATCTCCTTTGTTTTATTCACATTTAGAACCAGGTTACTTTTATTGCACAGTCCACCAGAACCTTCACCACTTCCCTATAAGCATCTTCACTGTTGTCCTGGATAAGACCCATCACTGCTGTGTCATCTGCATACTTCACATTATGATTCATAGCAGATTTGGCACAGCAGTCATGGGTCGTCAAGGTGAACAGTAGGCAGACTCAAGACATAGCCTTGTGGGAACCTCTGCTCAAGTAGGTGGAGTTGGAAGCTTTTCTTCCAACTCGCACAAACTGGGGCCCATCAATAAGGAAATCCAGTATCCAATTACATATAGGAGTATTAAAACCTAATAGGCTCAGTTTGTTCACGAAATGCTGAGGAATGATTGTGTTGAATACCGAATTAAAATCAACAAACAACATTCACACATGAGTATACTTCTCCTCCAGGTGTGCCAAGCTAAGATGAAGCACACAGGAAAATGCATCTTCTATAGAGCGGTTCTTTCAATAGGCAAACCGTAATGAGTTAAATGTAGGGAGAAGGCATGAAAACATATAGTGCTTTATTAATCTTTCAAAACATTTCATCATAATGGAAGTGACTGTGACTGGATGGTAATCATTAAGGCATGTAATTATACGGGGTTTTGGGGTACTTGTACAAAGATTGCAGTCTTAAAACATGATGGGACCATGGCCTCATGCAAGAAGAGATTGAAGATGTTTTTGAGACATCTTCAGCTGGTCAGTTGGCTGGGTTCATATATGTTAACCCAGATATTGTGATTTATAAATCAAGATTTAAGGTTACTTAGTTGTCAAATTCTAATCAATTGTGACTTAATTGTCAAGTTGAATCTGCTAAATCCGCAGTAAGGGCTTCATACAATGTATAAGCCAAGGTATTGGTTGTAAAACTTGGAAAAATTAAAAGCTGACATATTTGCCTAGCCTGAATTGATACAAGAGATATCCAGTTTCAAAACTTCACCAATGGGATCCATAAGAGTTGACATACTGATAAAGGGAGCAAGGCTTTGGTCATGCTGCTTCAGCTGCCTTGGTTTTTCTTTTATATCCTCCTGCACCCCCAAATGCTACTGATCCCCACTTATACTTTGAAGCCTTCAGGGTGATCTAGCTCATCTTAATTTGCAAGGTTGCTAGGAAGATGAAATGGGACAATGGGGAGAACTATGAATAAAACCTTGGTGCTCCTTGGTGGAAGGACCTTTCAGTGGTAAAAAAGGAACATTTTTCCAATTTTAATCTTGATAAGATGCATCTTTAGTTATTGCAAATTTTAAAAATAGAAGTGGTGCATTATTTATATAATATTAGTTTGTGAGGTTTATTGTATTCATGGAGATACACCACAAATTCAGAAGGAACTGAATTCTCTAATTGAGCACAGTTGAAATGTGTTACATCCCTATAATACCCAGGTTTGGTGTGAACTGTAGCCTAACATATATGGAGAAGATAAGTCTGTCTAGAAGCCACTGTAGGTTGGGCAGTCTTCTTGTAGTCAATTAGTTGCACTGTGTATTTTTGTATGTGTATGTATGCTTCTGTGTATGTTTTCCAGTCACTGAAATCTATAGCTAGTATTGCAGTAGTATCATTAGAGTGGCCAAAGCAGGAATATTTAAAGGTGGGAGGGATATATTTTACGCCTTAAGACCTATAGCTATAGGGCAAGAGTCTTCAAGCTTGGCAAGTTTAAGACTTGTGGACTTCAACTCCCAGAATTCCTGGGACTTGAAGTCCACAAGTCTTAAAGCTGTCAAGTTTGAAGACCCCTGCTATAGGGCTATGGATTCTACATCATATTTTGGTGGGAAATATGCAAATGTTATATATACTACAACTACACATGTCAAATATCATTACTTTTGATTTCATTTTGCAGAATGACACAATCCTGCCCATAACTCAAGATCAGAAATGGCTAGTAATTGAGAACCTTTCTCCTGACACAATGTTTGAGGCGGCCATTCGTGTCAAAGTAAAAGGGATTGGATTTTACAAAAGCGTATGGAGCAGATGGAGCACGCCTCCTTTAAGATGGAGGACAGATCCTGAAGGTAAGGCGCATAATAGAAGGCTTGGGTCATCTCTAGAGAACCTGTTGAGATGATAAGTCTCAAGGACATAAGTAGAAGTCTTAAGAATAATGTTTAACAATAATGCTTGACTTTAAAAAGAATTTTAAATAAGAAATCTGGTGATGCACATATGAGTTAGAATGTTGGAGGGAAGTTTCAGGCAAACAAACAAATCTACAATTTAATGTACAGCATGTTGAATGGGCACATACATCTCACACATGCAAAATTAGGGACAATTTCATGCCTGACTACTCTTGCAGATGTTTACTCAAAAGCCTAGTTTTCTTAAAATATTGCATTTATACACTTGAGATTTTTAGTCCATGTTCACAATCTTTTTCTTAGGAATGAACACACTTCAGAAATGTACTTATTATAATATTCATATAGTGCCATCTTCCATATGGTTTAGATGGTTTATAATCCTAACATATTCTATAAAACAAAGCAGTGAACATTATTTTAAAGCAACGTCTCTAAAAACACTTCCATTAAACAAAACAAACTTAAATTAAAATCTGAATTAGGAAGTGCTTCTGACTGGATCACACACACACAGCACCTCTCTGCTGTTAATTAAAACAGCCAGTCTTTTTCAGGCTTCAGCATGAGCTGGAAAAAAGAGTAGTTGAGCCACATGATGTTAATATGCCTCTTTTAAACTTTTGCATTCAAAAACTGCTAAATGTCAGATGTGTCAAAGATTGGATTCAGACCTTTTGCTTCAGGACACAAAAGGTCTCATGAGGAATTTTTAATCAGTATACTTTTTCAGAATGGGTTCCCAACTTTTGGGACTACAGGATACATCTGTAATTTATCAGAGCAATTATGATATAATGGTTATGTGTTGGGTTAGGATTGAACTAGGACAAACACAAGTTCAAATCTTTCTTCAGACATGGAAGGTCACTGAAAATATTGAACTAAGAAATAGTTCAACCAATCCTAAAGAATTGTTGATGCGGACAAAAAATAAATGGAGTTGATATGCTATTGCCATTGATTCCTGAAGGAACAGTGGGATATAAATCTAATAAACAAATATTAGCTTCAATGTGCATTTCATTTTTTCACACAATAGTTGCTATTTTTATCCTAAAGCTAGCGCAACCAAGGGTGTCAACAGAGGAGGTAAAAAAGTGAGACTGGTAGCAACTGTGGCAAATGTAACAAAAGTAGAGCCTTGGTCATCCAGTTGTGGTGCCATCTTGATTTTTTTGGTTTCCTGTTTCCCATGGGTGTCTCTGGGTATAGATGGATTTAGAATTGCAAATCAGTTCTTTGACTTCAGAATGCTAGGCTCCAACATTTACGTTAGATATAGACTGATAGTACCCAAACCCAAGTAACTAGTTCATAAAACTATTTCAAGTCAAAGATAGAATATAAGTTCCTCACGCTCAATAAATTAGTACTTATAAATGTACAAGGAAGGAGACAATGATGATTGTCAGAAAATAAGTTCAACACAAATCCAGTCAAAACATAGAACATGAAAAGCATAGGCTAGCAGCCAATCATCTTTAAAAAAAAGAAGAAGAAGAAGGGTTTGGCAAGTGTTCTTAGAAATAAAGCTTGTGCTGAAGATTAGTGCTTCCCTTTACCACATCTCATACTAATTTTTATTGCGGAGGTGGTTAATCTCAAAAACAACAAAGAGCCTGATGAGTTTTCTGTAAGGATCATGATGCACATTAGGGAGGGCTGCTGTATACCAAAATAGGGCCAAGAGGACCAGTTCAGATCTTCAATCAACTCTGAACTTCATAGGATGGTTTGGAGTAAACAACACTTATCTCCAATAGGGATGTAAGTGGTAGAAAGAAACATTGTATCTTCTACTATTTGAAGGAAAAGCAAGACCAGAATAATTAGAAAATAATTACAAAAGCAATAACTTATAACTTATAAAAAGTTATTTCCCTCTTATTCATTAAACAAAAACTCAAGTCTGCAGTGTTGTATTGAGCTGTACACCCAGATAAGATCACCTTATCCTCAACAAATAGCTAATTTCTACTTATTTGTTTCTGGTTGTTTTTGGAGCATCACAACTCCTTCCAGTTATTGTATCCATTGCCGGGATCATCATTCTCATCTTCATCATTTTCTTGGTGATTGTATCTTCAGCATCAAAACGGTAAAAGTGAGCTGAAAATTTACTTTTGTCCTATTGCTAGTTTTATGAAGAGCATTGTCTCCAGGTCCATTAATGTAGGTTTCTACTTTGGCAAAATTTCAAATTGATAAGATGTATTCATACATAAATTAAGGGGTCCATTTAAAGACAGAAAAGTTTTATTTATTTTTGAAAATAGCAATAGACTTATATACCACTTCACAGTGCTTTACAGCCCTCTCAAAGTGGTTTTACAGAGTCAGCATATTGCCCCCAACAATCTGGGTCCTCATTTTACCGACCTTGGAAGGATGGAAGGCTGAGTCAAACTTGAGCCAGTGAGACTCGAACTTCTGAACTGCTGGCAGCTGGCAGTCAGCAGACGTTGCCTGCAGTATTGCATTCTAACCACTGTGCCACCACGGCTCTGTATGTACTGACAGGCAAGGATGCTTGGCCATTCTTTTATTTGAATCAAAAATGCCCTGCATGCTTAGCACACACTTTTTCTTATATTTACGGGGGATTTCCTCAGAGACTATTCTCTGTAACACTTTCTTGATTGACAGTATGATCACATTAGTTTGTGTGACTACATGAACATTTCAAAAAGCAAATGTCTATGGAGATTCTCAGTCATCCAGGTCATGGTTGTCCTAAAGGTGCTTTTTTCAAGAGGCAACTGGACTTTCTGTTTTTTCTTTGAAGACGTTTCACTTCTCATCCAAGAAGCTTCTTCAGCTCTAACTGGATGATGGATCCTTCCATTTCCTCACCATCCAGTCAGAACTGAAAATGAGAAGTGAAACGTCTTCAAAGAAAAAACAGAAAGTCCAGTTGCCTCTTGAAAAAAGATTTCAGAAAGCACTACACAGAAGAATCCACCTTTGGGAATCCAGGTTGATTATTATGATGGACATTCTAAAGCGGTTGATGTGGTCCAGATGTGGGAGCTGTAGCCCAATGCATATGGAGTCATATAAGGGACAGCTCCATTAAGGAATAAAAATGTGGTCTCTATCATCATATCTGTTCAATTGCATGAAATCATATGATTTAAATGTTTCTTTGCTATGTGAAACGGAAGAAAGTTTTGGCAACATATGGGATAAATAAGATCAAAGTATGAGTGTAAACATAAGTGATCATCACCAACCTTTAGTTGCTGCCCTTCATATATTTTGGAGTCCAGGTCCTACTATCCCTAATTAGCATACTTAGGAAATAGAAGCCTAGCCCATCTAAAGAACCATACTAGCAAATATGGTCAGTTGTTTCTTAAAATAATAATGAATATTGGGAAAATTTAGATCTTTATCTTCCCTTCACCTTTTGTGACAAAGTAAGTGCTGCAACATTTTGTACTTTGTTCCACTAGATTACATCTTTTAATTCTGAATATAGTTTGTATTTAACTTTTGTCTAATGAAAAAATAATTCACTTTTCTGAAGTTCTGAAATCTTATACTGCAGAATTTGTAATTTCTCATTATTGTGAAGTTGGATAGCCACCATCAGGAAATATGGCTATCTCAGTCTAGAAACCAGAACAACATTATAAATACATTTGAGAAACCCATACTACAGTTTGCTACTATTTAACAGGATTAGCCCAAAAATAACAACACCCAACCTCTAAAGCAGGGCTGTCAAACTCACAGTCCGTGGGCCAGATGCATCATGCACTGGCCATGCCCACACCTGGTTTAGTGAAGGGGGGGAATAGTGATGCATCATATGATGATGCCATGACTACGCAAGTTTGACACCCTTGCTCTAAAGCATTATGAAAAATATGCAAAAATAGAGAAATTTACTGTTTTGATCCAAATCTGCTGTTTCTGTGCTTGCTTGTGACTGTTCTCCAAACTCATACTTACAGTACTTTTCATTCTCTTCCAAAATATGCTTGCTTTAGATTTAGAAAGAAGTTTAATATCAATTTGCCAAATCCAGCTAAGTTCTTTCCATCTCTCAGTGGTATCCATGGAGGAGATATCCAGGTATGGAGGTGGGATGGGGGATTAGAAATTGACTTCTATTTGGAAAAGAGAAAATAGGCTAGATTTAACCTGATGCATGCTTCTCACTGCACATAGAGTAACATCTAGGTGCAGGATTAAATAATTAACCTAAGATGAAATTTAGCAATACTATTGTTAATAAGTAATATTTATTACTACCAAATAAATGGAGAATCAACATAATTATGTCTTTATTATGCACAAAATAAATTGTAAAATAATTTACATTATTTTAAATAATGTAAATATTGTACAATAATGATTTTCCTTAAATTAGTGATCACAGATACAGTACACTGTAATCACTGATTCTTGGTGAAATCAGTGTAGCCCTAATAAACAAATCTGTTTATTGTTTACTAACTGAATGTTGATATTTGTTTAGCAGTAGGCAATTATCTTATTTAGTTTTATCAATATTACTGATTTTATTAAAATTGTATATATACTTATCAAGAAAAAAAGGCTAAATAAATATTTACCCACATTGTATGCATTTTTGTAACTAGTGCTACTTTATCAATGATTTTGAATTAATTGTACAATTTTGAAGTATCCAAATTTCTATATATTTTGGGATTCTCCAAACTGTTGGAGAACTTTGAAATGGGTTGTGTGTAATTCTCATACATCCCTACATTTTACTTGGGTGTATGTATTTAGATCAAAATACATCTTCAATATCAACCTATCATATTAGCAAATTAGCAATGCAATTAATAAATTCAGGAGGATGAGCTTTTTCTAGCCCTTCCTTCTCATCCCCCCCTTGTCATATATGGACATGCTTTATTTTTAAGTGTAGTTTCTAGCTCTAAATAGTACAGAATCAAAACATTCTGCAGGAACACTTTACTTGGAGAGTATAGTGACTATTAAAGTTGTACTTATGTCACTACCACTAGCATAATAAGAGTCTGTAATAGATGACAAAGGTCAACTGTCTGATAAAATCAAAGCAATCAAAATGATGTATAATATTCAAAACGTCACTTTCAAAATTTAGGTCAAACCACATGTTTGGCTGAAAAAATATAATAAAAATAAACTAAACTGGGAAGCCAATGCTGCTGTTTTAATTTTTATCAGAGTAATAGGAAATGTTTAACCTTTGCTTTTCTCTTCTGAAAGAAAACTGAAACAAAAAAGGGAAATTGCCTCCCTTCCTTGCCAACAACACTATTCAAATAACATTTAGCACTTAGAATAAGGTAAAGGCCAACATTCCCCACTTCAGTAAAGTTAAAGGCCCTAAGATAGCTGTTAGAATGCATAGGCATTCTAAAAAGTGTCTTTTTAATGTCATCAATATGCAGTACATCTGCATCACAAACAGTTTTTATTTTTCTAAATGGATTAGAAGTTAATTTCACAATGTATTCCTTCGCATGTACACAAAATGAAAGGGTAACATTAAGATATCTACCCATATTTGCAGAATAAATGTTAGCAATCTAATTAAAAGCTGTTCTGCACATTTACGTATTTAAAAATGCAAATCTGGTCAATTCTGTGTTAAATGTGTCCAAAATCATCAGGTATCCCCCTTTTTTGCAAATCATTTAATTCACATATTTTAGTTTGGTTTAAGGTTTAGGAAACTTAAAAGCTCCAGGGAACATCCTATGTATAGATGTCAATGAGAGAAGAGAAGAATAAAGTTAATGTGCTGCATAGCAATTACCTCAGTGAGAACATCCATTCACAATGAGAGTAAAAATGATTTATTTATTTTATTTATTTATTTATTTGATTTGCCAATTGTTTACAAGATAATAAGTATAAGTGTATACATAGTTGCTTTTATCTACTTTAGTGTAATAAAGGAAGGGCCATTTGATTTAGGAAAATGTTATGAAGAATTTCCCATCACCTCTTAGCCTCCTCTGTCAGTCATTAAATGGCTTTTAGAAGCGTCAAAGAGACTGTAGAGGGGAGTGAAGTCACTTTACTTCACTTTTAGAAGAAAGAGATTGTAGGAGATGACAAGGCTGAGGCCAAGGGAGAGGTCAAATATATCTTAAGTCATGAGTCCCTTCACCCTTGCAAGTGATCTAAGTCCAGCCACCTTGAATTCATTTCTATTCTTATTTCCCATGCATTTCCTTTAACGGACACTTGACCAGTTTCTTGTAGCAAGCTTAAATTTAAATTTCAAATACAAAGTTGTCCTATTTCAGTCTTCTCCATTCCAGGATCTTCTAGTTATGACCATGCTAGCTGGAGTCAAAATATCTGGAAGACACTAGGCTGGGAGAGGTTGCTCTTGGGAAATATGGCACTTGATATTATTATCTATGAAATATACCAGACAGATATGTTACAGTTCAATTGCTTGTGGGAATGGAATAAAAGTTCTTGAGCAGCTATATGTTAAGGTATGAAGTCTGCACTGCAGCTCATTTTGAATACTAATCCCCCTTTCTGTACTTTTCCAACCAGCAGAAGTGGTTGTCCTCCCCAGCATCCATTACTTCCTTCCATGTTACAGCTGAAGCTCCCATTGTCTCTATGTTAGAGATAATGCAAAGTTGCAGCAAGAAGTCCTACCTTCTCCCTCCTAAGCAATACTTCACAAATATTGAAGACATAACAGAGACCAGTGGACACTCCTCAAGCAGCTGCTTTACGAACCGTGGCTATTTCTTTTTCCATCATCTTGATTCCCTTGAGATTGATTCCTGCAAGGTGTATTTTACCTACGATGCTCTGGCTCGTAGTGAAGATAGTGATTCCTATTTCCACAAAGAGCTCCATAAAGCGAGTCACAACTTCCCATCATCTACCAACATCATGACAAACCAGGAAAATGATACTTCTCTTCAAGGTTATTCAACAGGCAGTCTTCCATCAGGGGGCGACTTCCCAATAGCAACAGCTGTAGACCAGAATGAGAACACAGAAGAGGGAATTCCTCTTGTCTTGTCTTCAAAACCCCCTGAGCAGTATTCCATAGATGATTTAAGTGAGCCAAAATCATTTAGCCACAATACTGATAGAATAGAATTACTCAGAAATGAAGAGTTATCTAACAATGTTATGGGAAATAACAGGTTCATGTTTTCAAATCAAGGCCAATCCAATGATATCTGCAGAACTGCATCCTCCAGCCAGATCCCTAGTTCCTCAGAAGCCTATCTGTCCTTGCGGGATCTTCAGCGACATTATAGTCATCATTCTGTCTAAGTCCATGATAGGAAATCGTTTTTTTCAGTGCTGTTGTATCTTCAAGAGGTCACTAAATGAATGGTTGTGCATTGAGGAGTATCTGTAAATTTGGATGTAAATTCTCCATCAAAAATATATCGTGCAAATCCAGATCCAAATACTGCTTTTCATGCTTTGGATCAATTCATGTTTTGGGTCTTAGGTATAGCAAATCTGTTAATTAGCACCATGACTACTTAGCGCTGGGGTGTCAAACTCATGTTGTCACAAAGGTGTCACATGATGTATCAGGGCTTTTTTTCCATTTGCTAAACCAGGCGTGGGCATGGCCAGCCCGTGACACATCCGGCTCATGTGTTCTGACCAAGGCTTCCTAAACTGTAATTACGTACACACTTATTTTAAAAACAAGACTTATTTTATTGCAACGCTGGGAATTGTTTTCATTCCCAGCTGGAATTAATCTCAAACAGTCCCCCAAGATAAGCACCCACCTTTCTTTTCTGTGAAGTGCTGCCAATAACAGAAGTATCAAATGAACTAGAAAAAAAACTCAACTGAAGTACAAAAAACCCCAACCGAAATACAAAGAGCTTCAAGAATGAATCTGAACCAAATGAACTACTTTGCTTCCTGCAAGTTTCATCATCTTTGCCTAACCTTTATACCTTATGGGAGGGGCAATCACCTCCCACCCTTACTCCCGAGTCGCCCCTTTTGTTTCAGCTGCTCTTGCCTTCTAGTAGCTCTGCGCACACGTGCACTGGGAACAGGCTCTCCTGGGTCCTCTGCCTCGCTGCTGCCAGACTCAGAAGGCAGCACCCCACTCCCAGATGGTCCTGGCCCCATCTCTGCATTGGACGCAGGACTCTCGTCTGAGTACTCTCCAAACTCCCTGACTGGTCCCGGTTCTTCCCCACTGTCCGATTCCGCTGCCATCTGCACCAGCTGCCGGCGAACCACAACACCATGAGGTGGGAGTTTGACAGCCTGATTTGATTTCTGCAAATCTGCTAATTAGTACCATGACCAGTTACCATTATTTCTGCATTCATTGACCATTGCATGTGTATCCTTCAATGGGGATGGGGTCATTTAATGCAGCTAACTTGAAATTTGCTTCTGATGTTACATGGAGAAGTGGAGTGTAGCTTTGACAATGCTGTTTTACCCCAAGTAAATGTCTACAGTTTTAGAAGGAAGAAGGAAGACCCCACTTTTTGTCCTAGACGGCCATATAATCTCATGCTAGCAATACCTGCTAGATGGTCAATCAGACAAGAAACAATCCAAAGAGCAAACTAGGAAGGTAGATTCTTGTTAGTTTGTGGCCTCAGCTCAAGGTTTCATCATCAACATCTTACAAATATCAAGGCCTGATTATTTCTCGAATAACTTTTCCCATCTTGGAAATTAGACAACTCATGAGCCATGTAGCTTCCAGTCATCCCCCTTTTTTTGTCTCACTAGAATCCTGAAATGTTTCTTTGAATGTTGACGGCAAATTGCCAAACTTTAGCTGCATTATTTTTCATGTTTCTTTATTGAAACTTATGAAGTTGACAGATACCTCCAAAAACCCCACACTAAAAAATGTCATCCTTGTATTTTTGATGCTTTCATAATCAGTTGTGGGATTCACATTTTTTGGGTTCTGTGGGCATGGCTTGGTGGGCGTGGCAGGGGAAGGATACCACTCCTGTCAGAAATGGTATTTGCCAGTTCTCTGAACTACTCAAAATTTCCGCTACCGGTTCTCCAGAACTGGTCAGAACCCACTGAATGCCACCTCTGATCATAATACCACGAACCCTGCACTCTATAAAGGTTGAACACTGTAAAGTGTGGCCTGTTTTTCTGTCAAAACGTAACAGAATGGATAAAAATTGCTTATGAAACTCTTATAAAAACTGTTTTATGAGAAATTGGGGCAGAGTTCTGTCCAGTGACATTCAAGTCAGTCTGAAAAACTGAAATCAGCATCTAATTGAAACAAGGTGGGATTTTTAAAAAAAATAGTATTATGGTTATTATTCAAAGGTGTCTTGCTGACTTGCAGGGCTTCGGCGGCAGGCAGGAATCTGCGATCATGCATGGTTTCTGCCTGGGCTCGCCGCTGGAGCGTCCCGAACCAGTCTGGCTTCGGGGCTTAGCCACCCCGTAGAGGTGGCAAAGAGGGGAGAGATCCCAGCAGGGTCGAGGGAAGCCGCATCTTTCCTCCCCAGCTGGCTAAACTCCCTTTCCCAAAGGCGAACGAGCAGCAGTCAGAAATGGCCGCCTCAAAGAAGCACTCATCCGAAAAAGAAAGTGCAGGAGGAAGTTAAGAAGTGAAAGTTTTGGCTGCTAGGGATAAGAAGCAACAATCAAGGTATCCTGGAATTTAAATTTTAAAAAGATACATTGCTCCCAAAGAAGATTCGGAAGCAGCGAATGAAAGTGAAAAGGGAAAGTTTGTTTTCTTTCACTCTCCTTCCTTACGTTGACAGCAAACAGAGATGAATGAGAAATTGGAAAAACCCGCTTTGGCATCAAGAGGTAATTAAACTGGATAATTAAATGTCAAGGGATTTCTGATCATTAAATTTCTGAATTTTTGAAGGATTTCTGAAGGATTTCTGAACATTAAAAAAAAATTTTTTTTGCTGTAAGTGGGAAGGGAGAGGAAAAGAATAAGAGTAGGATTTGGAAGGTGGAGACTGCCTGGAATTTAAAAGAATCTGATTCAATTCTAACAAGACTTCTAAAAGATACATCTTAACTGGAACTTTGTAACTAAATAGTAACCCCAGGAAGAGAAAGTGAAAAAAGAAGAAAGTGTTAAAAGAAACAGCTTGTGTGTATTTGGATTGCTTGGTGACTTTGGGATTTTTGGAAATTATATTTGAATGACTAAAAACACTTGGGTGGTTGTTTGAAATTTTTTTTACAATGGCATTACTTGTGGATGAACTGAAAAGGGAATTTAAAAAATATAAAGAAGAGGAACAAGAAGGGAAGGGCTCTCTTGGCTCTGTTTTTCAATTCTTAGAAATGGCGATTTGTACCTATGAGAAATTGCAAGAAAAGACTATGCAACAAGAAGATTGGGACAAAGAAGAAGCCATCTTTGATGAACAAGTAACTTTACTTAGGGAAGAAGGGGGAAAGGGGGGAAAGAGAATGGAGACTTTAAGACCTAAAAAAACAACCAAAAAAGGGAAAAATAAGGTGAAAAGTGGATATAATGTTAGAAAGCAACAGAAAAAGGGAACACAGAAGAGGGAAATGGAGGTGGAGAGACAAGGGTGTAAAAAGGGCAGAGAGAAGAATCAAGGGAGGAAGGAAGGGAAGAGAAGCTACAAAGGTGTGGATCAAGATGTAAAGAAACAGGACTTATTTAGAGATAATGGGTAAAATTTAACTGAAAAAGTAATTCTGCAAAGGTACATAAGATTGCATTGTTATATTTGTATTAGAAATTATGTTAGAAAATTGGAAATAACATATGATTAAAAAGTGGGATAAAATACTCAGTGTAACTCAGTGAAACTTTTGTGAACAAAATAAATGAAATGAAATAAATGAGAGAATTGAACTAGGAAGGAATGGGAACATTTTAATGATATAATGTTTTAAAATATGACTGAAGTGGGGGAAATAAACTATGGAAAGTTTATAACTGTTCCCATAGAAATATGATACTTATTTGAAAAGTAATGTGTAAAATGTTTAAGATTTAAATGAATACTAATATTAACAATAGATTTGAATTGGCATGGATTTGTTGTTTTAATTATATTATATATCTATAATTTTTTCTTTTTTTTTAAATATAGTGTGTAACTTTAGAATGTACTAAGCAGAATCCGAATGGAAGTTATGTATTATATTAAATGTTATAAATTTAGGGGAAAGATATAAAGGCGTCATACTCCAATCAGTGATTACAGGAGAAATTTTGTCTAATGAGAAAAGATAATAGACAGCTGGAAACAGAACAGACAAAGAATATAAGTATAATGATCTGAATTGAGATGAAGTAAATAAAATAAAATTAAGAAAGTTAAAAGAGGGGAGAAGCTATATAGAAAATGTAGAATGGTAATAAGATATGGAATGGTATATAAAATGAACATGAATTTGAATTTGTGTCTATACGAAGAGATGTACCCAGGATCAAGCTGCTTTCAAAAAAGATGTTTTATGTTTTTATGTTTTACGTTTTGTTTGTTTATGTTTGTTTTTAAAAATCAATAAAAAAATTTTTTTTTTTTTTAAAAAAAGGTGTCTTGCTCTGTGTTTATTACATTCCTCTCCTGTCTCTTGTATGCAAGTCTTGGAGGAGTAACTATAAGATAATTTCTGCTGCTGTTTTCATTGCTCCTTGCTCTGAATTTGAGCACTTCCATATCATCATTGCTTCTACTCCCCAATCCCTGAAAAGAGTTTGAAGACATTCAGCAATTATTTCCAAATTTGTTGACCTGGTAATGTTGAGCAAGGGTCACACTGCTCTCTTCTGAGTTGTTACAGTCCCGTCAGCAACAAAGGCAAACAGAAAGCCCAATTTGTTCCATGAAGGGATTAAAAAGCCATCAAGTCACCTTTCCCTTTAAAAGTCTTCTCCTGCATTTCAGAAACCAAGGCAGAAGACTCAGCAGAGGAGGAACGAAGCCAGCCATAAAAAGCATAGAGCTGCAACCTCTCAAAACATCAAGGAGCTTCACAATGCTTTCAGATACATTGACTCAGTTGTCAAGAAGGAGCATTATAGGGCCACAAGGCTGCATGTGGAGTCTAACTTTTGTTAAACTGCTTTATACTGTTTCATACAATAAGCTGCTTTATTGTCTGTGGATTCCCTTAGGAGCAACACCTTGGCTTGAGTCCAAATATAAACTTTTTTTTCTGAGTTTTGATATGTGTTGCTAAAACCTAATAAAGATTTTATTTAAAAAAAAGTTCATGGAAAGTTCACCATTTACTTCATCTTATCCTGAGCTGAAATCCATAACAATGTCTGGGGACCAACTGGGGATTTATATTTATTCCATATTTTCAATATGGTATGTCAAAATTATTTTTGAAATCCACATTAACTTTCATTTTATTGTACCATAAATATCCATGCCATCTGAATCTAATATTGTGACCTTCTAGCTCTAAAAGTCCAATTTCTCAGCAACATCCATTATTTTATTCAGGCCCAAACAAGAAGCAGAAAAATACAATTTCAAAGCTGGTAAATGCAATCTCCCTTTTTTCTATGTGTCTTTTAACACTTCGTATTTAACTTGTGTTTTCCACATTCCTCTATAAATTTAGATATATCTTTTTGCCATTGTTTAAGTGCTATATCAGTTA